GGGGCATACCCAATGGTGTTCTGGGCTTACTCCTGGCTCTGTGCTCAGGGATCACTCTTGGCAGGTTTGAGAGAACATATGGAGTCGCCAGGGATCAAACGTGGTTTGGCTTCATGCAAGGCAAGTGCCCTTGCTGCTGTACTATCTCCAGTCCCTTTTTTTTTTTTTTGATGTACCTGGCAGTGCTCATGGACTAGTGTAGGCTCAATGTTCGGGTAGGAATGGGGGATAATGATGTAGTGCTGGGAATATAATCTGGGCCTCAAGCATCCAAACCATGTATGTGCTCAGTCCTTTGAGCTATCTTTCCTGTCCTCACTTTTTTTTTCCCCCCAAGAAATTTTATTAAAAGGCGTCAGAGGAACCAGAAAGTGGGCTCAATGGCCTAGGTCACATGCTTTGCACGTAGGAGTACCCAATTTCTATTTTGGGGGTTCACACCCGGCTGAGCTCAGGGTTTACTCCTGTTTCTGTGCCAGGGATCCCTCCTAGTGGGGCTTGGAATTGAACCTGGGTCAGACCCTTACAGAGTAAGAAGCACCCTACCTGTTGCATTACTGCTCTGACCCCAGAGCCTCCAGTTTCTTTCTTTTTTTTTTTTTTTTTTGCTTTTTGGGTCACACCCGGTGATGCTTAGGGGTTCCTCCTGGCTCTACACTCAGGAATTACTCCTGGCGGTGCTCAGGGGACCCTATGGGATGCTGGGAATCGAACCCGGGTCGCCCGCGTGCAAGGCAAACACCCTACCCGCTGAGCTATCGCTCCAGCCCCAGAGCCTCCAGTTTCGATCCCTAGCATCACATCATTCTCTGAGCACTTAGGGAAGTAGCTTTCAGAGGAGCACCTCCCTCCCCAGCATTGCTGAGTGCGGGGCCCCCAAATCTAAGTGAATAAAGAAAATAAGGAGGAAAAAGAAACATGTCTAAGAGGGAGTGGTTTCTCCAGAGAGCGGAGAAAGGGAGGAGAGACAACCCTCTAGAGTAAAAGAAAGGAATTACATACCCATTAGGATGTGGCAACAGCTGCCTGTGTGTCCCAAGTGTGTTTTACAGGCCTCTTCCAAGCTGGCCTGCTTGGAGATTTCAGTGCGGATAAGAGTCCATCATTAGGGTGTTGTCAACTCTGAGTTTGGAGGTCTTCTTTCATATCCCAAACTCTTAACTCCACTTTGTTCAGTCTTGCCAGGACTTTCCTTTCCTGCTGAATCATCCCTTGATGATCGTTAGGGTTGGAGCTAGAGTCCTCATTCTGGAGCTGGGCCCTGGTCTGGAACTCCTTTCCTGATTGCATTTTTAAGGGCTTTTTAGATAAATTCATTGCTAAGGAGCCCCTTGTCTGCCTATTTCACTAACACCCCTCTGGCCCAAACTTAGAATAAAAGCCTCAGAACTGGGGGAGAAGGGCACTGATTTACAACAGTGACTCAGCAGTTATCAGTTGGCAAGGTCACTTGATAGTTGCACTTTGGACTTCTCAGAAGTCAGGGTCAGCAGGAAAGAGGAATCGCAGGATGCCTCAGACTCTAGGGGGTCGGGGAACTAGTAGGGTACATAGTTAATTTGCGCTGATGTATGTGTTTGGGGGGAGGCATTTGGATCGCACCTGGTTGTGTTCGTGTCTTATTCCTGGCTCTGTGCTCAGGGATCATTTCTGCCAGGGAACCATATATAATGCTGTGGGTCAGTTGTGTGCACAGTTTGTGTTTTTTTTTTTAATTTAATTTTTTTTATTGTCTCTGCTTTTTTGGAGATTCTAGCAGGGGAGCGCAGCTACTTGTATACCCTTGACTGAAGACCGGCTTTGTACAGGGGTTACTCCTGGCTTTGCATTCAGGAAATACTCCTGGCAGTGCTCAGGATACTGGGAATCGAACCCGGGTTGGCCGAGTACAAGGCAAACGCCCTACCTGCTGTACTATCGCTCTAGCCCCAGCATTACATACTCTTGACTTAATTTACTTAGCAACTGGAATTTTGTATTTCTTGACTCATTTAACCCCTTTTTTTTTGGTTTTGTGTTTGAAGTACCGAGAGTATCTCACCCGCACGGCAAAGCCTGGCAAGCACCCCGTGACGTATTGATATGTCGAAAAACATTAACAACAAATCTCACAATTTGTTCTGAGACGTTGCTGGTGCCCGCTCAAGCAAATCCATGAACAACACAACGGGAGGACAGTGCTATAGTGCTATTGTCTCTGTTAAAAGGAATTTGAGTGATCCTAAATCCTAATGAGTTAAGAAAGCTTCTGCTCATCTTTCTGAGGGTAGATAATGTTTAACTTTGGACCTTGGACAATTTCTTTTCTTTTTTCTTTATTTTTTTTGTAGAACCCCTGGGGGGTAATCCAGGAGTGTAAAGATGCAGAAGGGGCTGGAATATAGTTCCAAGATCTGGGGTGCAAGCTTTGTTTGCTTGTAGTAGTCTGGTTAGATTCTATGCACTGCATGGTCCCTTGAATACACTGAGAGCCACCTCAAACACCTAGAAGTGGTAGCCCAAAAGCCAACTAAACAAAAGATGAAGAAAATGTTTACTGAGAGGGTCAGGGGAAAGAGACGTGGGGAGAAACAGAGCCAGCTAATTGGACAACTCTTTTTCTGTCTACCATTGCCAAGAAAAATGCATAAATACAAGTTATTGCCCAGTCACAATGGCAAAGGACTATTTCAAATCCCAAATTGATAATTTAATCACCAATATGACTATGGTAAGCCGTTTTTGGCAGTACCAGGTTCAAACCCATGTTTCATGCACTCGATACTGAACCTCTCTGACACCTTGTGCCCCAAAGTCAATAACAGAACACAAGTTTTTGGAAAAAGGGGAAGGGCTGTTAAAGCAAACAGACAAGGGAGGCAGCAAGATCCCAAAGATCCGAAATCCCAAGTCCACAGTTGGGGTAGGATCTTTAAAGCCAGACACGAGGAAACGCAGAAGTGTTATTGATCCGCTACAGGGTAGGTGAGGGATGGGCTGCAGTCACGGTTATAGAATTAGGTTTTGACAGACTCTGGAATTTTGAAAGTTGTTGATTATATATTCTCCCATTCTCTCTCTTGTCCGTGGTTCAAGGACAGCCACCACAGCCATTTCACAAGACAGGATTCAAAAGGGGAGGGAACCACACTCAGTTCCAATTATATTTGGTTTATATTTTAACAGGGTTAGGGTGCTATGAACTATGGGAAAACATGTATATTGACAAGGATTCTTCTCCAAACAAAATCAACAAGATGAGAAAAATAGAGTGAAACTTTACGGCGAGAGCAGAATTTTAGTAGAGCCGGTAGAGGTGCTTGCCTTGCCAGCAGCAGACCCGGTTTGATCCCTGGTATCCCATATTGTTCCCCCACTGGATCCCCGTGCAGGGGTGATTCCGGAGTTTAGAGCCAGGAATTAAGCCTGAGCACAACTGAGTGTGGCCCCAAAACAAAAGGAAAAGTTGAGGGAGACCTAACAAGTGCTTTGACATTCTTGCCCCTGGCAAGTCTATTCCATCTACAAAATGAAGCATGCGCACCTCCTTCACAGGCTTTAGTGTGTTTGCGAAGGAAGCTGTGCCTTTAAGATTTGGACTCCCCTTCCCCCTAGGAGGGGTCTTTGTGTCTGTGTGCTGATCACTCAAAAAAGGAGCCAGTTCCACCAGTCTGGCCAGTCCGGCCACTTCCCCCCTGCAGCACCCCCCTAGTTGGTCCTCAGGAGCAGCCCATATGCACTCTTGGCTGTGCCCACCTTGAACAAACGATTACAAAGTCTGTGTGTGTGTGTGTGTGCTACACTTCAACGAAAGGTTTAGATTAGAATAAATAAAAACAAAAGAACAAGAAATAGGGGCTGGAGCGATAGCAGAGCAGGTAGGGTGTTTGCCTTGCACGCAGCCGACCCGGGTTCGATTCCCAGCATCCCATAGGGTCCCCCGAGCACCGCCAGGAGTAACTCCTGAGTGCATGAGCCAGGAGTAACCCCTGTGCAACGCTGGGTGTGACCCAAAAAAGCAAAAAAAAAAAAAAAAAACCGAAAAAAAGAAAAAAACAAGAAATAACTACCCTTTTACAGATTTGTTGGGAAGATTCCATAAAACTATGCTTATAAAATCTGGCAGACCGGGCCTTGAGGTCAGATAAAAGAAATCACCGAGCTGCTATTTTTTTAGCTGCTATTTTTTTTTGATTTTTTTCATTTTTCTGGAGGGGGCCACACCCACCTATGCTTAAGGCTCACTCCCGGGGGTGCTCGGGGGAAACCACACGGGACGCCGGTGATGGAACCCGGCAAGGCCAGTGCGCTACCCACTGCGCTCTCTCTCCGGCCCGTGAAACCTGCAAGCAATCCTGGTAAAGGGGGCAACTTTCGTCCGGGGCTTCAGAGTGCCTGGTTAAAGCATGGAGTCAGACTGGGTCGACGACAGAAAAACCACCCAGTGGACTCTAGGGGGGTCCAGGCCCGGGTCACGAAAGGGTCCTCGAGATCCCCTGCCGGGAGCCCCGTCGCCCCGGTGCGTCGTGGGCCAGCGAGGGTGGCCGGCCCCGCCCCCAGCGCGCGTCACGTGGTCCTCGGCTGGGCCCGCCCCCGGCGCTCGTCACGTGGTCCTCGGCCGGCCCCGCCCCCGGCGCGCGTCACGTGGTCCTCGGCCGGCCCCGGCCCGCGCCACGTGGTCCTCGGCCGGCCCCGCCCCCAGCGCGCGTCACGTGGTCCTCGGCCGGCCCCGCCCCCGGCGCGCGCCACGTGGTCCTCGGCCGGCCCCGCCCCCGGCGCGCGCCACGTGGTCCGCGGCCGGCGGGTTCTCCAAACCCGCAGGAGCTGCTGGAGCTGCCCGGTCCCGCCCCCGGCACCCGGGGAGCGGACGGCGCGGACTCCCGACCGCCGCCCCTCTCCGCCCACCCCCGTTTGCGTCGGGTCCAAAGGGCGGGTCCATCAGGGCGTGCCGCCGGAGCCCGGCTCTCGCCCCTCCTGCGGGCGGAGCCTCCCCCTCGCCTGGGCTTAAGGACGCGGCGGCTCGCGGCTGCCGACTTCGGCTTCTCGGCCTCGCAGGCTGCCTTCGGGGCTCATCGGCCGGCGGCGGGACGCGGAACCGGGCCGGCACCTCCTCCCCGCGCGCTCCACGCTCGGCGCCCGTGCGGAGGTGAGTTTCTCCTGCGGCCGAGCCTTCGCGAACGCAGGAGCCGCCCTCCCGCCCTCCCCGGAGCAGGCTCTGGGGATGGCCAGACTTCCTGTATTTATTTGCTTTTGCTTTTTGGGTCACACCCGGGTTCCTCCTGGCTCTGCACTCAGGAATCGCTCCTGGCGGTGCTCGGGGGACCATATGGGATGCTGGGAATCGAACCTGGGTCGGCCGCGTGCAAGGCCGACGCCCTCCCCGCTGTGCTATCGCTCCAGCCCCTTCGTGTGAGATTTAAACGGGGGCCTTAGCGAGAATTCGGTGAGACAAAGCTTGGAAGGCTGCGGGCACGGAAGAAGTAGGTGCTCACGGACTCTTAGTTGCCAGTTTTCTTTTTCCATTTCCCCCCGAGTTCTGCTTTTCCCCCTGGAGTTGCAGGGATGCTTTTGCAGAAGTGGCGGAAGTGGGTGGAATTCGCGTGCTTTGGCTCCTGCCGTGGTTTTTTTTTTTTTCGCTTTTTGGGTCACACCTGGCAATGCACAGGGGTTACTCCTGGCTCATGCACTCAGGAGTTACTCCTGGCGGTGCTCAGGGGACCCTATGGGATGCTGGGAATCGAACCCGGGTCGCCCTACCCGCTGTGCCATCGCTCCAGCCCCTCCTGCTATGGTTTTTTGAGAACAGCCAGAGCTGTTGCTGCGAAGTTGGTCCACTGAGACTCTGAATCTGTGCTTTTCACCGAATGGGGCTAACCGTTATTAAGATTTCTCTTAGAGGATATCGAGGCCCACGGACGCCTGGTGCAGGTTGAACAGCCCTGAAGCAGGGACACCCAGAGGACTGAGGAAAGAGACAGAAATAAGAGGAAAAGTATGGGGTCAGGAGGCTCACAGTGTCATCGACTGAGAACTTCAACTGTCTCCGTGTACAGTATATATTGCTTAGAGCCAGTGATCATCTGAAGAACAACATCCTTGGGTCGAATGCCAAACCACCTTCATCTGTCTGGAAGAGACTAAGTATCTGTGGGCCTTCATTTATCAGTTAAACAGACATGTAGAGGGCTTTCTCAAGGGCAGATTCTTCCAGGAGTGGGAGCAGAGAGCGGGACTCCTGCCAGGGCAGCATGGCGGCAGTCAGCATTCTTAATTGAAGGGTCCCTTAAACTGCCCGTCCTGTCGGTTTGCTTTATCTGTTCACCAACACTGGGGAATAAGAAAAAAAAATTGGGGGGTGGGGAGTGGCTGCAGATGGAAAAGTGCTTTGGTATTTTTTGGAGATAGTTTTCTACATAGGCCTTGCGTGGCCAGCCTTGCTGAGCTGGGTTCAATTCCTCCGCCCCTCTCGGAGAGCCCGGCAAGCACCCGAGAGTATCTCTCCCTCATGGCAAAGCCTGGCAAGCTCCCCGTGACGTATTCAATATGCCAAACACAGTAACAAGTCTCAAAAAATGGAGATGTTGCTGGGCCCGCTCGAGCAAATCAATGAACAACGGGAGGACCGTGACAGTATCGTAGAAGTAAACCTCTCCAGACCCACACAAGATAGTTTTCCATGTTGCTTTCTTAGACATACATGATACACACCCTCCTGTCACTTGTTAAAAACAAAACACTGACTGGACTGGAGGGGATAGTGGGTAGGGCATTTGCCTTGCACACAGCTGACCTGGGTTTGATCCCCAGCACCCCGTCTGGTCTCCTGATGGGCCATGAGTAGTCCTGCCTGAGTGCACAGCCAGGAGTAAGCCCTGAGCACTGCTGGATGTAGCCCCCTAAAATGCAAAACAAATCCAGAACACCCACAATCTGTTAACACTCAGACACCTCTTCATCCTTCCTTTTTTGTTGTTGTCTCTTGTTTTTTGTTCACACACTGCAATGCTCAGGGTTATTCCTTGCTTTATGTTCAGGAATCACTCATGAAATGCTGGGGATCGAACCCATGTTAGGTGTATGCAAGGCAAATAAAATGCCCTACCCACTGTATTATCTCTCCAAACCCTGAAATACTTTTTTTGAAATTCTTTTTTTCGGGAACTGGGCATGCCTGGCTCTGTTCAGGGCTTAATCCTGGCCCAGTGCTCATAGGTTACGGCTGGCAGTGCTGGGAGCCCACCCAGTGATGCTCAGGGGTAAATTACTCCTGGCTCTGCACTCAGGAATCACTCCTGTTGGTGCTTGGGGGATCATATGAGGTGCTGGGGATCAAACCTGCATCAGCCCTTTGCAAGGCAAGCACACTAACTGCTGTATTATCTCTCCGGCCCCTAGAATTTTTCCTTGTCTTTGGGCCACACTGGGCAGTGCTCAGGGGTTACTCCTGGCTCTGTACTACTAGTGTCGTTCTTGGTGAGCCTGGAGGACGATTTGGGATGCTGGGAATTGAACCCCAGGTTGGCCGTATGCAAGGCAAGTTTACTAACAGCTGTATACTATCGCCCTAGCCTCCAAGAATTGCACCCGGGGAGGGGACCACACCAAGAATTTCTTGGGGACTGCTCCCTGGTTCTACTGGGGTCGCCCCACCATGTAATGCCAGAGTTGGCCGATTCAAGGCATTTTTTTATGCATTATCCTACTGGGAACATGTCTGGTTTGCTTTGACAGCTCTGTTTTTGTTTTATTTTGGGGCCACACCTGCAGATGCCCAGGATACCATGTGGTGTGGGAAACTGAACTGAGGGCTGTATACGGTCAAAGCAAGTGCTCTGTCCCTGAGACACATCCCGACCCTACTTTGGCACTTTTGATGCAAGGTCTTGAATCCCTGGTGCCAGGAATATACTGGAGGAAGAGCATTGTGTGTCAGACACGGTGTGAAGTGCTTTTCATATCGGATATCCAGAGTAGAGGGGCTAAGACTCAGGATTGTACTTCAGAGCTTGCAACATCCCTCTGCTGCTTTATATATATATTTTTTTTTTAATGTAGGAGTACTGCTAAAACTGCATGAACTCCACTTTACTTTTTTGTTGTTTTCAATTTTTTAAACGGAATATCTGTGAGATAGGCCATTGCAAAGCTGTTCATGATTGTGTTTCAGTTGTATAATGATCCAACACCCGTCCCTCCACGAACGTACATTTCCCACCGCCTTGTCCCCCATTTCCCTCCCACCTTCCCCAGTATCCCCCACCCCCACCCCCAGCCTGCCTCTATGGCAGGAACTTTTCTTCTTCCCCTCCTTTTCCTTTTGTGAATTATGGTTTGTAATACAGGCACTAAGAGGTCACTGTGTTCGCTCGGGGCGTCCAGTATTTTTATCAGGAAAATAAGGCTGGCGTTGCTGCTTCATTTTGGAGAGCAGAATTACAGAGATTCGCAGACCACCCTGGTGGAGATACCCAGCGTGGGGGGAATCCCTGGAGAGGCGGAGTCTGCGGTAGCTGAAGAGGACAGCTCCACCAGGGAGTGCGAAGTTGGCCTCTGACGAGACTCCGAGGCTTGCCCGTGTTCTCCCTGGGACACGTATCTCACTGGCTGGTTTCTGTGCTTGCCTATTTCCACCCTGGAGAAGCCTGTGTCCTCTCTTGGACACATTTTCCTCTCTCTCCTTACATCTTTCGAAATCTTCCTGAATAAGTTTCAATAAAAACTATCTTGGGCTGGAGAGATAGCACAGCGGGTAGGGCGTTTGCCTTGCACGCGGCCAACCCGGGTTCGATTCCCAGCATCCCATATGGTCCCCTGAGCACTGCCAGGGGTGATTCCTGAGTGCAGAGCCAGGAGTGACCCCTGTGCATCGCCAGGTGTGACCCAAAAAGCAAAACAAAACAAAACTATCTTGCTTGGGGCTGGAGTGATACAGTACAGCGAGGAGGACCTTGCCGTGTGTGCAGCTGACCAGGGTTCAATCCCTGGCATCTCCCATAATCCCCCGAGCCTGCTAGGAGTGATCCCCGAGTGCAGAACCAGGAGTAAGCCCTAAGCACCTCCAAGTGTGGCCCCAAAACAAAAAACAAAAAGACTGTGAGGAACACCAGCATTTGTGGAAGGCAGAAGAAAGGAAATCCTCTTCCGGCAACTGCAGGGCCCTTGCTGAGCTCCAGAGAGGACATAGACCACATAGACGACGTCAACGACAACCGGAGTCTTGATCCTATCCAGTGCCTCTCCCTAAACGTCCTAAACGTCCGGTTTCTCACTTTTATGGCCAGAACTTCTCCCAAGGTCGTATGTGGCTTTCTGAGAGGGGGATTCCCTGAAAGCACCGGAATGCTGGAACCTATTAACGTGGAATAGCTGGAAAGGAAGGAAGTGGAGAAATGAAGGACTGGCAGAGATTGGTTTTGCGTCCTAGAGATGCTTGAATCTTCTGCAGACCCTTCATCAGAATTTGTCTCCGTTTCGCCCCACCCCTATCCCCCCATCACTGTCTCTCTCTCTCTCTCTCTCTCTCTCTTCTTTTCCCTGTCCCTTTCTCTCTCTCTCTGTGAGGTTGAATCCCGAGCTTCACATGCAAGGAGTCCATCTTCCCGGTGAGTTCACATCCTCCTTTGGCGCCTTTGTTCTCTGCCGTCTTTGTTAGGTGTTTTTTTTACCTCTGTGATCCCGCCCCTTAAGCCTTGAACCTTTTAGTTTCACCACGAAAGAAAGGGAGAAACAAGCATTAGGTTTCTTCCTTTTCCTCTTAGGCCAGATTCTTGTACCAGTGGCTCAGCACAGATGTAATTTCAGAGCCCTCTGTGCGCTGAGAAATCTGGGCAGCGAGGCCAGCAGGTCACTTGTTTGGGGATCAAGCCGAGGAAGCTGGCTGCAGATCCTGGGTGCAACTGTGCGGTCCGAGCTTGCTTGCTTGGTTCGATTGGATGTTTGTGCCCCTGCCAGGTTTGTTACACAGGGTACTGCACTCGGCCCTCTGGCTTATTGTCTAGATAGATCTTTGTTCTTCCTTTTTTCTTTTGGGTGGGGGGTGGGGGACACACACCCTGTGGTGCTCTGGGCTCAAGGACCACAGACCCCTAGTGTGGCTTAGGGTACCAGAGATCAAACCCAGGTTGGCCATGTATAAGGCAAACGCCCCACCCACTGCACCGTCTCTCTAGCCCACTGAAGACGTAGGTTTTTCAATTTTATGTTTGTCCTAGAAAAGAGGGACTTCTGGACCAGAGAGACAGTACAGGAGTTAAGGTGCTTGCTCTGCATGTCCCTGGCACCACATGGTCACCCGGCACAGAGCCAGGATAACTGCTAGGCTACCAGGTGCAGCCTAGAATTCAACCCCTCAGCCTCCAAATGATGGCTCCCATAGTCAGGTTATAGTAGACCAAACGTTTTTCCTGGGTTAGAAGTATCTTTTCTTTTTTTGTTACGGGAGCCAGTGATCGAACCTGGGTCGGATGGTCACACCCAGGTTGGCCTCGTGCAAGGCAAGTACCTTGCTTACTGTATGTACTGTCGCTCTGGCCTCTGTGTCGGGACTATCACAAAGACAATTCTGGTCTGCTGGTTTTAAACACCGCTTGTTTCATTATCGCAGTATCCATAATTTGAGGGGGATCTTTTGGGGCCAGACCCGGTTGTGCTCAGGGCTTACCCTCGGCTCCGCACTCAGGCATCACTCCTGGTGGTGCTGTGGGGACCATATGGGATGCTGGGGGTCCAACCCAGGTTGGCAAACACTCTGTCTGCTCTGCTGTTGCTCATAATCCTTATTCGTTTTTTAAAATTTATGTTTGGACCACATTGGATGGCGCTCATAGCTCACTCCTGGCTTTGTGCTCTGCGATCACTTTTGCTGGTACGCCAAGGATTATTTTTTCTATTTATTTATTTTGGTTGGTGCCACACCTGGCGATACTCAGGGGTTCCTCCCGGCTCTGCACTCAGGAATAACTCCTGGTGGTGCTCAAGTGACCATATGGGATGCGGGGATTAAACTGGGGTTGGCTGCTGTGGTAAGCGCCTTTCCTGCCGTACTTTTGCTTTGGCCCCATGCCAAGGATGTAGTCAACGTTGTACGCAGGGCTAGTGCCGATGACTTCAGACTACTTCTCTTACCCCTATATTTGATTTTTGACTTTTGGAGCCTGTGTGGGGGTACTCGGGGTTGTGCTTTAGGCATTGTTCTCTGCTGTGCTTATGAGATTATGTGGGACAGAGATCAGACTTGGGCCTGCTGCTGAAAGTCCAGCCCACTTGGTTATCTTTCTTGTTCTCTAAAGTTCTTGATTTCCTTTCAGAACAAAGGTCATAGCTATAAAGGCACTGCTGGCGATTAGTTTAGTCCCCTTACTAATGATTTATAGTGCAGGTTGACTCCAGGGGAAGGGCTACTTCTACTTGTAGGTTCTGGCATGCACAGTCTTTCCTTTTTATTGCCGTCACTTCTTCCGCTATAAGAAGCCATCCAAACTCGGCTCTTTTCTCGTTTTATGTTTTTTTTTGTTTGTTTGTTTTTGTTGCTCTTGGCAGCGTGCAGGGGCTACTCCTGGCTCTGTGTTTTTTTTTTTTTTTTGGTTTTATTTTTTGGGGGGGTCACTCTCAGGCGTTTGCCGAGGATCTTAGGCAATAGGATTCAGTTGCATGCAAGCAGACAACTTAATCTCTGTATTGCCTCTCTGATCCTTGTTACTTTTTTTTCTTTTAATTTATTTTCTTTGGGGTCACAACTGGCAATTCTCAGGGGTTACTCCTGGCTTTGCAAAGAGGAATTACTTCTGGTGGCACTTGGGTGCCATATGGGATGCCAGGGATCGAACCCCGGGTCAGCCTTGTGCAAGGCAAGTGCCCTATCTGTTGTACTGAAGCTTCAGCTCCCCCTATTAGCTGTTTTTAAATGATGGTTTCAAGGGAAACCATCTCAATGCTGGGGAAGGGTGGGCTAGGGGCTTGAATCCAGAGTATATGCTCCACCAATGGGCTATATCCAGGCTGCTAAAATCAATTTTATTCCATTTTTTATTTATTCTGGGGGTTTTTGAGCTTCACATGGCAATGCTTAGGGCTTACTCCTGGCTCTGTGCTCAGAGCTTGCTGAGTGTAAGGAGGTGCCCTACCTGCTGTGCTAACTCTGATACTGAATGTTGCTGAAAATCTATCTTATTTATATTTTTGTGGTGCCAGCAATAGAACCGAGGGCCTTACAACAAGGCAAATGCTCTACACTGACTCCAGCCCCCTCCGTGTAGTTTTTGTTTGGGGGCCATACCCGATGATACTCAAGAGTTACTCCTGGCTCTCCAGGCAGAAATCACCCCTGGTGGTGCTTGGGGGACCATACGGGATGTCAGGGATCAACCCTGGGTCGGCCACATGCAAGGCCCTGCCCATTGTACTATCACCCCAGCCTCCGGCTGCTTAGTGTATTTTGTTGGTCTGTTTTTCCTACCCTTTCCCACTTACTCCTCCTTGCATTCTTGGCTCTTTACCAGTGTGTAGCACAGGCCCAAGGAGCAGTCCTTAACCCCCACATCACTCTCTTCTCTTCCTTGTTTCAGGGAACAATGACGGCTTCCTGCGTCGTGCTGCACACGGGGCAGAAGATGCCCCTGATTGGACTGGGCACCTGGAAGAGTGAGCCTGGCCAGGTGAGGGGGAATGAGGAAGACAGCTCTGTGCTCCTCTCATTGGGAAAAGTGGTATTTTGGGATCTTTCATTTTTTTCCTTGCTCCTTCCCTAAGTGCCCCTCCAGAGTAGATAAACCTGGGGAAAGAAAGAAGGGAACGAGGGACCAGCAGAGAGCTGCTGACTAGTCCTGCTATGGGACCAGCAGGCCAAGGGCCTAGGAAGGAACCGACACCCTGTCTGGGTCCGCACTGACCCCACAGCGACCCCCAGATGGAACGCAGCACCTTGTGTTCTGATCACGTCCTTCCCACATGGGCTCCTCGAGGGCCGAACCTCTCCCTCGTGCTCGGGCCGGGGTGAGGCACAGAATCTGACAGAGTTTGAAGAATAACCAGATCCATTGTAGACCAAAGGTCAGTGAGCTTTGTCTCAAGGAAGCTGATGGCTAATCATTTAGGTTTTGCTGAACGAGTTGCCAAGTGGAGGTAATTAACGGTGTTATGGTGCTATGAAAGTGTTATGTAACCTTCTAATGGGTAGACATTTTTCTTAGCCGAAGGACTGAAAACAGAAGTCAGCTGAGGGACTGCACATACCTCGTGTGCAGGAGGCCTGGTTTGATCCCCACTATCAAATTTAAAGAAAACAAATTAGGAAAGAAGAATCTGCTGGTATCAGAATCTGGAAACCCTTTTGGCCTAGGCGAGCCTATGAATGGGGACCTGCTTTTTGGGGTTTTAAAGCCAGTGATTCGGCTGCTACCTGGTGGGGGGCGGGGCGGGGCGTGCCTCTCCTAGGGCTTCGTGCTGCCCACTCACACCAAACCCCAACCCGCATATACAAGTTCCAGAAAAGAGCTGCTCTCCCAGCTGCAGCCAAACCCAGTCCCCAACTTCTCAAAGTCAGTTCAGGAGCACTGTTGTTTTCCTCCCTATAGCCCCATAGCAGGCTGGAGCGGTAGCACAGTGGGTAGGGCGTTTTCCTTGCACGCAGCTGACCTGGCCGACCCAGTTCAATTCCTCCGCCCCTCTCGGAGAGCCCGGCAAGCTACCTAGAGGATCTCGCCTGCACGGCAGAGCCTGGCAAGCTCCCCGTGACGTATTCGATATGCCAAACACAGTAACAACAAGTCTCACAATGGAGACGTTACTGGGCCTGCTCAAGCAAATTAATGAACAACGGGAGGACAGTGACAGATAGCCACATAGGACTCTGGAGTGGGGTTCTTTGTACTCCAGCAAGTACTTGACATGACCTGAGGACAAGTCCAGGAACTAAGTAGGTGAAGGTAGTGCTTGGAGACCAGAGCCAGGGCCAAGACTGTGGGCACAGAGCAGGGCCAGAGTTTGGGATCATTTTTCTGGGGTGGGGGTGGGAGTTTACATCACACCTGGCAGTGTCAGAACTTACTCCTGGCTCTGCTCAGGGGTCGCTTCTGGTTGGACATGGGAGACACTATATTCTGCTGGGGATCGAACCCGATTTGCCACATGCAAGGCAAGCGCCTTATCCTTTGGGTTATCTTCCTGGCCTCTTGGGGACCCTGAGTGGCAGCTGCCTGGCACCTTTAGTTTTGCTTCTATTTTTTTTTTTTTTTTTTTTTGCTTTTTGGGTCACACCCGGCGATGCACAGGGGTTACTGCACTTAGAAATCACTCCTGGCGGTGCTCGGGACCATATGGGATGCTGGGAATCGAACCTGGGTCGGCTGCGTGCAAGGCAAACGCCCTACCCGCCGTGCTATCTCTCCAGCGCCTAGTTTTGCTTCTTTTGGGGGGCTACTTTAGTGCTCAGGGGCTGCTCTCAGCTCAGTGTTCAGGGGTCTCCTGGCTGTGCTGAGGAGCGAGCCTGGATCTCCTGCATGTTTACTTTACAGCCCATTGGACCATCTTTCCAGCGCTGTATTCTATTTCTCTTAACTAGGTCCTCAAAACTGGGGTTGGTGTCTATGAACTGTATGTGTTTTTTTTTTTTTTTTGAGGGAAGCATGAAAGATGAACCATACCTGGTGGTATTTAGGGCTTACTCCTGGCTCTGTGCTTAGAAATCACTCTTCGCAGACTTGGTATGGGGTACCCCGAACTGAACCCAGGTCAACCATATGCAAGCAAGTGCTCTAACCATTGTACTATCTCTCTGGGCCCTATGACCCGAGCAGTAGTACATATTACTTCCTCTGTTAGTTCATCCATATTTTATTCAGAAAAATGTACTGAACTCTTTTCACTAGATGATGGGCACATCCTGTTAGTTTTTCTTTTCTTTTTAAATCTAACATTTTGCAGGGCACCCCTCCAACTGAGCCGGGTTGATAGTTTGGCCTCAGCTATGGTGCAGTGCAGTGTGGTGATACTTGGGGGCCATTAGGGATGTACCTGGTGGTGCTCGGGGGACCATGTGATAGAAGGTAACTTCAAGCCTTGAACATGCTAGGCATGGATGTATACTTTAACTATCTCACCAGTCCCATTGTTGATTTTATGCTGAGCTGACTGAAGTGGTTTGGGTCAGAAGGAACTTTAGGGACTTATGGGATGAAGACAAAGGAATTAGGGGCAGGGCTGGAGAGATAGCACAGCGGGTAGGGCATTTGCCTTGCACGAGGCCGACCCGGGTTCGATTCCCAGCATCCCATAGGGTCCCCTGAGCACTGCCAGGAGTGACTCCTGAGTGCAGAGCCAGGAGGAACCCCTGTGCATCGCCGGGTGTGACCCAAAAAGCAAAAAAGAAAAAAAAAGGAATTAGGGGCATCTGATGAGGCTTTGGGTTCCCTTGACTACAACTAACTTCTCCTCTGCCCCCACTGCCTGGATCCCTGCCCTCAGGCGCCCATCAGGAACCCTTGCCAGGGCAAGTTCTGGCCTAGGCTAATAGGGCTGAAGCTTCTCCTTCTCTCCCCTGACAGGTGAAAGCAGCCATTAAATATGCCCTGAGTGTAGGCTACCGCCACATTGACTGTGCTGCCATCTATGGCAATGAGACGGAGATCGGGGAGGCCCTCAAGGAGAGTGTGGGACCCGGCAAGGTAAGGCCTGGGGCTGCAGAGACGAGGAGGGGGCGCGCTTGGGCCTGGGGCTGGGGCTTCTCAGGGGATCTGGCCTCAGCTTCCTTCCACCTCCTTTCCCAGAGGTAAAAGGGGGGAGGGTGTGAGAAGAGGGCCCAGGGTTCTACTCACTCTGGGCCCTGTCTTGTGCACCAGGCATTGGCCCGGGAGGAACTGTTTGTGACGTCCAAGCTGTGGAACACCAAGCACCACCCCAAGGACGTGGAGCCTGCTCTGCGGAAGACGCTGGCTGATCTCCAGCTGGAGTACTTGGATCTGTACCTGATCCACTGGCCCTATGCCTTCGAGTGAGCCTTGCCTTTGCCTGGGTGTTCGTTCATCCAGAGAGGGGTAGGGGGCCCTGGCAGTACCCTGTCCCAGAGGAGAGCCGATCACTGAGGACCACTGCAGCTCTGGGATGAGCTCTGGAGACCTGGGATCCCACGTGGCCTTCCCCGCTCCAGCAGCTGATAGGGTAGCACCAGAGAAAGGAGTGCAGCTTCCGGGGTGCAGATTCCATTCGCCCCAGGCAGTGAGCAGCCTTTCTGCTTCCTTTATTCACTGGGGAGGAGCCAGAGGATAGCGTAGTAGCTCAGGTGCTTGCCTTGCACACGGCTGATCTGGACACCTAATCTGATCCCCCGAGCACCCTCCTGAGGCATGATCTTGGGTTGGAAGCAAGAAATAGTGTGATGGGTTGGGTGTTTGCCTTGCAACGTGGCTGACATAGATTCGATCCCGGGCACCCCATGTGGTCCCCCAAGCGTTGCCAGGAGAGATCCCTGAGTACAAGAGGAGTGATCTTTGAGTGTCACCAAACAATATTAACTTATAAAAGGGAACTCCCTTCCTCTGAGCAAGGCCGTGGGCTGCCTATGGAGAATGAGCTTTGGAGGAGGGGGTGGGCGGAGCCTGGCAGCTTTGAGCGTGGAGGCCTGTGCCGGAAGGAGTCTGGAGGAACTGCTCATCCGAGGATGGAGCTGGGCCAATTTTCCAGAGAAGTCACGTGGGCCTGGGAAAAGGAGGGGGGCGCTGGGCATTCCTGTAGAGTTAACACCCCAACACCCGGGTCACAGTCTGGAAGGGTGAAAAACACCTTGGTTTTCATTCTTGCTTGTGGGGGCACTTGTAGTAAATCTTCAGGGTCCTGGGGCCACTCCAGGGAGTGCTGTTGTCTTTTCTTGTTGTTTGAGCCACACATGGTGCTCAGGGATCAGGGGATGGTGCCAGGGATCAAACCCAGGTCAGCCGCACATAAGGCAAGTGTCCTGCCCCCTGCACTTCCTCCGGTCCTGTGTTGTTCTCAGTCTTGGCCTTCCCTCTCAGCGCCTACCTAGAGTGTAGGTCAGAGAGGCAGGTGAAGCTGTCAGGCCGGAAGCCTTGCCTGGTTGCCCATTCTCAGTTGCTGTGTCTCGTTCAGGCAAGGAGATGACCCCTTCCCGAAGAATGCCGACGGGACTATCCGCTACGACTCTATCGACTACAAGGAGACCTGGAAGGCTCTGGAAGCCCTGGTGTCCAAGGGGCTGGTGCGGGCCCTGGGCCTGTCCAACTTCAGCAGCCGGCAGATCGATGATTTGCTCAGTGTGGCCTCCGTGCGCCCCGCTGTCTTGCAGGTGAGCCCTGCCGGCGGAGCTGCTGAGTTTGGGGGAGCCAGAGCAGGCGAAGGGTCTGCTTCCTGGAGAGGGCTCGCACGTTGCCAGATGCACCTGTTTCAGAAGTCTCTTCATTAAAAAAGGCCACCCAGGGCACAGCAGGTAGGGCGCGTCACTTGCATGCAGCCGACCCAGATTTGATCCCGGCATCCCATACAGTCACTTGAGCACTGCCAGGAGCATTGCTGGGTATAGTCCCAAAACAAAGAAAATAAAACAAAACACAAAGGACAGCCGAATAAAGGGCACCAAAGTGTATGGAAAAAGGAAAGGAAATGGAAAGAAAAGTGGGCCATTGAGATACGATGTGAGGGGTGAGCAAAGGAGGGTTGGGTCGCACGGGCCTGTCTGGGAGGGGCCGTCCTTGGTGATGGATCTTTCCCCCTTTTTCCACGCAGGTAGAATGCCATCCATTCCTGGCTCAGAATGAGCTGATTGCCCACTGCCAGGCACATGGCCTGGAGGTGACTGCCTACAGCCCCCTGGGCTCCTCTGATCGCGCTTGGCGTGATCCGAATGAGCCCGTCCTGCTTGAAGACCCTGTGATCTCGGCATTGGCGAAAAAGTATAACCGGTCGCCAGCCCAGATCTTGCTCAGGTGGGAACTGTTTGGGGAAGAAAGATGGTGAGGTTGGGTGGGCATAGCCGGCTGGGAATAGAGGGATTCCTTATTCTTGGGCCAGCTGGAATCTAAGAATCTTGCCAGATGGGGCCGAAGTGATAGTGCAGAGGGTAGGGCACTAGCCTTGCCCATTACAACCTGGGTTCAATTCCCAGCACCCCATACGGTACTCCAAGCCTTACCAGGAGTGATCTCGGAGCACAGAGCAAGGAGTAAGCCCTGAGCACCCCTGGATGTGACCCCCGCCCTCCAGAAAAAAAAGACTTGCTCCATGATGTGGGGGAGTGCCATTCTGGCAGGTTCTTTCATTCACCAGTGGGACTTGGGTGGCTCCAGGAGGGGGGCGGCTGCAGGGAGGACAGAACCGTGCTCATGAGGACTCTTCTTCCTCATCGGTCACTCCTCCGTAGGTGGCAGGTCCAGCGGAAAGTGATCTGCATCCCCAAAAGCATCACACCATCCCGGATCCTTCAGAACATCCAGGTACTTGCCAAGGATTATTTTCTTCCCTCCCGCCCACTGGATTCCTGTTGCATTCCGAAAGGGGATGTTCAAGGAGAGATGAGAATTCTGCAGGAAGCGCTGTCAAGGGGAGGTCGGGGAAAGGGCACGGCCCTTCCATGCCTTCCGAACATACCACAGTCCCCTCAGGCGCTCAGTCCCACGGCTCTGGTCCTGTCTTGAGCCCCCTGGGGGCACAGCCTGACTCTGATGGTGAAGTGAGAAGGCAGCCGTGTGGGACCCCAGCTTCCGTTCCTGACCCTCACTCTTCACCCACCCCAGGTGTTTGACTTTACCTTAACCCCGGAGGAGGTGAAGCAGATAAATGACCTGAATAAAAATTGGAGATACATCGTGCCCATGGTTACGGTAAGTATTGCCCCCACAATCCGTGGGAGAATGTGAGGTGGGGAGGGATTCCAGCCGCTCCGGGCAGCACAGGGGCAGGATTTTGCTGAGAAGATTGCTGACTTAGGCACTGGAGATTCTTTGAAGTTGCTAAACCTTTCCAGCCTTTTTCCACTCCCTTCCCCTCCTCTCCTGTCTCCCCTCTCCTCTCCTCTCCTTTCTCTCTTCCCCCTTCTCTTCCTCTTTCCCCTCCTCTCCTCTCTCCAGGAATTGAGCCTTACACATGCATGGCATACACTGTGCCACCAGACTTGTATCCCTGGCTCTTCAGTTTTGAACCGGCATGATTCCAGATCCTTACGAGTCATTAGTAAAGTAAAGTAAAGGCCCTCCCGTTGTTCATCGATTTGCTCGAGCGGGCCCAGTAACGTCTCCATTGGAGATTTTGTTGTTACTGTGTTTGGCATATCGAATACATCACGGGTGGCTTGCCAGGCTCTGCCGGGCTGGAGCGATAGCACAGCGGTAGGGCGTTTGCCTTGCACACAGCCAACGAGTCATTAAGGTCTCAGTAAATTGTAGAAGTGTAGAGAGTCCAGGAGTTTTTTTGCCTGGTTATAGGTGTTGAGGTTGGGTATTTTCCTGTTGCACATAGGGAAATAAGGGCCTGGAATATAACTCAGCCAGAGAGTACTTGCCTTGCATGTATGATTCTGGGTTCGATCAGGAGCATAGCAACAAAACACAAATAGTTCTTATCTCAGCTGAGAGTGCTTTAGGGGAGGGTCAGCTCTGGGGTTGGTAATGGAATGTAGTTGATAATGGGGCTCTGGGTTTGGTGATGGAATACAGGTAACTGTGACTCTCTAAGATCACTGCCTTATTGCCTCGTGCTGAATATAGCCGCTGTTCAGGAAGATTTGGGACAAGCTGGAATCTTCGGAGTCAGTTCCTACTAATGGCGTCCTCTGTCCATCTTTCCTTTCAGGTGGATGGGAAGAGGGTCCCAAGAGATGCAGGGCATCCTCTGTACCCCTTTAATGATCCCTACTAAGACGACAGCTTCTGGCTTCCTTTCCAGCTCTCCGGCTGTAAGGTCCTGCCATCCTCAAGGGGGAGTTAATAAAACTATTGGAGCATCCACAATTGCTTGCTTGTCTTAATGGTTTGACTAGACCCGGAGTGGCAGCATTTCTTAGAATGTTGGCGCTAGGGGTGCTGAATGTGTGTGACCTGCCCTGAGCCCACTTTCTTTTCCTTTCTCAGTTCTGAAGGAACCAGGGATGGGACTGAAACCCTCCCTTCTGCTTTTCTGAATCAAATGAACTAGTGAGGAGTGCCATCTAGTGCCCACTTTTAACACTGCATTGCTAGCCCCGCATGTCAAGGAAGAATGTCAGAAATTAATGATCACCTCAGAATTGAGTTAGGGTGGTGAGTCCTTAGGTTTCAAGGCACTGCTGCGTCTTAATCTTTTTTTTTTAAATTTTTTTAGTTGGAGCTGGAGTGATAGCACAGCGGGTAGGGCGTTTGCCTTGTATGCGGCCCGGCCCTGGTTCGATCCCCAGCATCCCATATGGTCCTCCGAGCACGGCCAGGAGTAGTTCCTGAGTGCATGAACCAGGAGTAACCCCTGAACATCGCCGGGGCAAAAAAAAAAAAAAACAAAACAAAACTTTTATTAGTTAAACACCATGTAGGTACAGTAGGTACAGTTGTAGACTTAAAAATTTTTGTGCTTGGGTTTCAGTTATACAATAATCAAGTACCCATCCTTCCACCAGTGCCCATTTTCCACCGCCACGGGTCCTAGTATCCCTCCCACCCCCCATCCCCCCATCCCACCCTTCCTCTGTGGCAGGGCATTCCCTTTTCTCTCTCTCTCTCCTTTTGGGTGTTGTGGTTTGCAAAAGAGGCATTGAGTGGCAGTCATGTTTGGTCTATAGTCTACTTTCAGCATGCTTCTCCCACCCTGGGAGGATCCTCCCAACACCCTTTATTTGGTGCTCCCTTCTCTATCTGAGCTCCCTTTCCCCCTAGCATGTGTGGCTCTGCGTCTTAATCTTGAGTTTCCTCCCTGCTCAGTGCCTAGGCTTATCTCCAAGGTGGGCTGGCGAGATAGTACAGAGGCTAAAATGCTTGTCTTGCAAGCCTCTGATCCTGGTCCAATCCCCAGCATAAGAATTTGATCCCCTGAGCATCGCAGGCTGTTGCCCAAAAAATGTAGCACTGTAGCACTGTCTTCCTGTTGTTCATCGATTTGCTCGAGCAGGCCCAGTAACGTCTCCATCATGAGACTTGTTGTTACTGTGTTTGGCATATCTAATACGTCACAGGTAGCTTGCCAGGCTTTCCCATGTGGGTGAGATACTCTTGGTAGCTTGCCGGGCTCTCCGAGAGGGGCAGAGGAATCGAACTCCGATCAGCCGGGTTGGTCACGTGAAAGGCAAGCACCCTACCTGCTGTGCTATCGCTGCAGCACAAAAAAGTAAACAGCAAAAAAATTTGGATGGGGCCACACCTGGCAATGATCAGAGGTTTCTTCTGGCAGTTATCAGGGGACAAGATGGATACCAGGGATCAAACCCAGGTAGGTTGCATGTGCACCTTATCTCCTGTACTGTCTCCCCCGCCCCATAAAAACTTATTTTGTCATTTTTGTTTTTAGGCTACAACTTAGCTGTGCTCAAGGTTTACTAAGGGCCAAACTCAGGGGACTCTATGGTGTTGGGAGACCGAACCCAGGTCGACTGAAGCAAAGCAAGCAACTTACCTGACCCCAAGGATTGTTTTTTTTTTTTTTTTGGTCTGGGGGGCGTTCACCTCTGGGGCTACCCTTATCTCAGTGCTTGGGTGTTGCTCTCTGAGGTGCGTGGGAGCCAGATCAGTGCTGGGTTTAGTACCCTAGGTGCCTACGTGCAGTACTCAGAATCTCAAATAAAAAAAAAAACAACTTTAGGCCCTGGACCTAAAGATGAGTAAGGCACGCTCTCCATTCAGCTAAGCTACGTTCTCACCTTCGACAAAAGAAATGACTCTTTTTCTTTTTCTTTTTGGTATTTGGGTCACACTCAGTGATGCTCAGGGTTTACTCTTGGCTCATATTTGCAGTTACAGGACCCAAAAGACAGGACGGCAGGTTGCTGTGCTTGCCTTGCACTCAGCTAACCCGGGTTTAATTTCCAGCAACCTTACGGTCTCCCACGCCTGCCAGGAGTGATTCCTGAGTGCAAAGCTAGGAGTAACCCCTGAGCACGCCAGGTTTGCATCCCAAACCGAAACAACCTGGAGTTACTCCCTTGCTGTGCTCAGACCAAGCAGGTGTCGGGGATCATCCTGGAGCTCTGACATGCAAAATACATGCTTCACTCTTTTGAATCGTCTCCAGCCCCTGACAATCAGATTTTTTTTTTTTTTGGACAAGTCTCACAATGGAGATGTTACTGGGCCCGCTCGCTTGAGCAAATCAGTGAACAACTGAGGACAGTGCTCTAGTGCTTTTTGATAATCAGATTTTAAGATGAGATTTTTTTTTAAGATAAGAAATTTTAATTGAGGGGCTAGAGAGATAGCACAGCGGGTAGGGCGTTTGCCTTGCACGTGGCCGACCCGGGTTCGATTCCCAGCATCCCATATGGTCTCCTGAGCACCGCCACGAGTAACTCCTGAGTGCAGAGCCAGGAGTAACCCCTGGGCACTGCCAGGTGTGACCCAAAAAGCAAAAAAAAAGAAAGAAATTTTAATTGAGAAATCTTCCTAAACTCCAGCCACACGCATTTCATCTGAGTATTTCAGCCAAACCATTACTTTTCACTAAACAATTATTGGGTACTTATATGGCCTAAGCACAATGCTAACCCCTGGAGATACAGCTCTAACCACTATACAAGTCCCTACAGTTTACTTGGGAGACAGACTTTAAAGTAATTGCATAATTAGTTTAATTACGGTTGGAGGAAGGGCTTTGAAAGTGTGCAGAACAGGAAGCCTACTGAGTTAATCAGCTGAAATCTGCAGAATGAATAGGGAGTAATTAGTTAAAGAGGTGAGAGGGAATAGTGTTCCATCTAAATTGGTAGCTTGGGGGAAAGCTTTAAGTTGACAGAAACTGCTGAAAAAACCTGAAGGCTTGTCTGAGAGAAATGGAAATTGAGTGGGAGTAGAATGACATTAATCCTGGGATCTGGTGATGGAGAGCCTAGAATAGTGGGTTTGGTTTGCATTTTTTTGGGGGGCCACATCCGGAAATACTCAGTGTTTACTTCTGGCTCAGCTCTCAAATTACTCCTGGTGGTGCTCAGGGACCATATAGGATGCTGGGGACTGAACTCCAAACCCACTTGGCCTAGTGCAAGGCAGATACCTTACCTGCTGTACCAGCACCAGGGTTTGGATTTTTTTTTTTTGGGTCATCCATATCCAATGTTGTTATTTTTCTGTTAATTGAATCACTATGAATTACAAAGTTACAAAGATATTTATGATTGATGGGGCCAGAGCGAGAGCATAGTGGGTAGGGCATTTGCCTTGCATGCAGTCGACCTGGGTTCGATCCCCGGCATCCCATATGGTCCCCCAAGCACCGCCAGGAGTAATTCCTGAGTGCAGAGCCAGGAATGATCCCTGAGCATCGCTGGGTGTGACCCAAAAAGCCAAAAAAAAAAAAAAGATATTTATGATTGCGTTTCAGGAGTATATTGTTCCAATACCAATCCCTTCATCAATGCCTATTACCCTCCACCAATGTCCCCAATTTCCTTCTTGTGCCCCCAGTCTGCCTCTGTGGCAGCACTTTTCTCCTACCCCATTGTCCTGGTATTTCCTTCCCTGGTTTATCTCCCCACCCCTGGCCCAGTGGCAAGCACCCTACTGAAGAAGACCAGCTTTCTTCCACTGTTGATGTCTATTGCCTCTGGGTATTTGATATTCCCCTATCCAGTTGCTTTATATCCCACATAAGAGAGACATTATTCAGAGTCGATGTTCCTCTCCCTCTGACTGATTTCACTCAGCAAGATATTCTCCAGATCTATCCACGTTGCAGTAACTTTCATAACGTTATCTTTTCTTACGGCAGAGTAGTATTCTATTGTGTATATAAACCATAGCTCCTTTATTTTTTTTCTTTTTGGGTCATACCCGGCGATGCACAGGGGTTACCTCTGGCTTTGCACTCAGGAATTAGTCCTGGCGGTGCTCAGGGGACCATATGGGATGCTGGGAATCGAACCCGGGTCGGCCGCATACAAGGCAAACAACCCTACCTGCTGTGCTATTGCTCCAGCCCCTGAACCATAGTTTCTTTATCCAGTCATCTGTTCCTGGGCATTGGGTTGTTTTTATATTTTGGTTATTGTAGATAGTGCTGCAATGAACAAAGGAGTGCAGATGTCTTTTCAGTATTGCACTTTTGGGCCTTGGAGTATATTCCCAGGAGTGAAATTGCTGGGTCATATGGAAGCTCAATTTCTTTGTTTTTGAGGAATGACCATACTCTCTTCCAAAAAGGTGATCAGTTGACATTCCCACCAGCTGTGAATAAGGGTCTCTTTTTTCTCACATCCTTGCCAACACTGGTTATTTTTTTTTTTTCTTTTTGGGTCACACCCGGCGATGCACAGGAGTTACTCCTGGCTCTGCACTCAGGAATGACTCCTGGCAGTGCTCAGGGGACCATATGGGATGCTGAGAATTGAACCTGGGTCGGCTGCATGCAAGGCAAACGCCCTACCCGCTGTGCTATCTCTCCAGCCCCGACTGGTTATTCTTTTTGAGTGCCAGTCTCTGTGGTATGAGGTAGTATTTCATTGTTTTGATTTGCATTTCCCTGATGTTTAGTGATATAGAGCATTTTTTCATATGCTTTTTGGCTATTTGTATTCTCTGAAGAAGTTCCTGTTCATTTTTTCTCTCCATTTTTGGTTTTATTTTATTTTGGGGCCACACCTGGTTCTGCACTCAGGAATCACTCCCAGCAGTGCTTGAGAATATGATTCTCCTAACGAGAACCATACTGGAAACCAGGGATAGAACCTGGATTGGCTGGGTACAAGGCAAGTGCCAAGTGCCCTACCTGCTGTACTCTCTCCCCGGTCCCATCGTCTCCCCATTTTCATGTAGAGTTCTACCAGCGATATATATATATTTA